CAGCTAGAATTTGTTTAATTGTATGCATGTATGCATAGATTTGAAGGGGCATGTATTTCATAACTGTCATCCTTCGCGGCCAGGTTCAGAAAACACTTTTAGGACTCCTAAAGTCTTGATTTACATTAACATGTGATCAATTTCAATAAAAGAATGCAAATAAAGGAATGGCTTCCAGGTTTTTAAATTATTAATTCCTGTAGCAAACATTGTCTTGTGTTTGGTCTTTGCAGTTGAATGAACCCAATTTCACTTCACAAGGCTTTAGTTAGTTGGAGGGAAGTAGACTTATAAATAGATCTAGTTAATTGATTCATAACTGGATCCCTGTGTGTGAAATGTTCTATTTAAGTAAGGTCAGAAGGTGCAAATAAATGTAAACTCAGACACATACTGAACGGTACACTGAATTTTATTAACTCAGCCCAAGGTAGTGAAGGGTGAAGGACCGAGTGGTTAAGAGAACGGGCTCTGGAGCCAGCCCATTGGCATGACGCAACTTCTGCAAGTTACTTAACCTCTCTGTGCCTCAATTTCCTCATCCAATGGTGTGTTGAGTTATTTTAGTCCATTTGCTACTGTCTAGGCTCTAGAGGTGATTTCTGTCTTTGTATTTGCATGCTGGAAATGCCGTAAGTGGTGTGTACCTCCACGTCTGTTCCCAGTTCTGCATTCAATGACGATACCTGGGCAGCCAGAGATTAGCTGTGGTGGGAGCATTTACACCACAGGACTCGGCAGAGGCTGCACATCAGGCTGTGTTATTTTTTTCCAGAGAGCTGGTTGTTAAACATTTACCAGCACACCACTGCTCATGTGGACATGGAGATGATGATAGCAGATAGCTCATTGGGTTGTTACAATGATTAAATCAGATAATGTTTCTATAGTGCTTAGAGGGTTGGCTCCTAGTAAGCACTATAGAAGTATTGGGTTGTAAGAAAAGCCATGACCTATTTTTCTGTTTTTCGTTGCAAAAATGTGTCATGACTTTTCCGACAACCCAATATTTGTTTAAAAATACATACAAAACTGTTGGAATAATGGTAATATTGGTGGAGCCATTTACACTGCTCAAAACAGTTTCATGGTGTGACTTTACTTGCCCCTCACACCAGCCCACAGTGAGGGTTTTCTCACTTTGCTGGTTAATAAGCCAGGGATGCATGGGTACCACAGGAGGGGGACTTACTGATGGTGTTTTGAGGGTCTGCTCTGAACTTGAATTTCTGAAAGCATCTTGATCTGTTATCTCATTTCATCCTCACGAGCACCTATTTTATAGACAAGCAAATTGAGGCTCAGAGACACAGTCTTCTTCTGGGTCACACATCTGGGTAATGGTGGAACCAAGGTTTGGAAACAAAGGTGTGTCTGACTGCAAAGGCTTTCTCTTTCCTGCATGCCAGGGGTTCTGAAGTTGTGGTCTGTGGATCTGTGGCAGCTTTGGCATAACTTGGGGACTTGTCAGCAATGTGGATCATCAAACGCTATGTCAGACTTGTTAGAGCAGGTATTCTGAGTTTGGCTCCAGCTAACTGTGCCTCAGTGAGCCTTCCAGGTGACTCTGAAGTCTGAGGACCACTGCCCCATGCTATCAAATGTGTGACCAAAGGAAAAGCAAATGATTTAGAAAGAAACGTAAAACTCTGGGCACAAGGAACCTTGCCTTGAGGACAGCAGAGAATGTGCAGCTGTCGCCCTCCCCAGGGCAGTCACCTCTTCCCCTTATCTCACCTGGAGCCACAGTGTGGGGACAAGGGACCTTGGCAGCTCCCTCGCCAGGCACTGTGTGATCCCCAGAAGTTCAACATTAGACAGAAACAGAAACTTCCAGTGCTGCCCTTGGCAGGACATAGTCACTCAAACCAGGGGCCAGGCGAGTGACATGAGTGGGCTGGGTGGACAGCAGTGAGGAGTGCTTGGATCTTTGGGGACCGGGGGCCCCAGGTTCCGGAAGCAGCTGCCACTTGGCTCTAGCTGATGGCTTTTCATATTGTCAGAACTTCTGGATTTTAATGCTGGAAATGTGGGTTTTTACCAACCTCTAATTTTCAATGTTGGCAACTGAATCGAATTATAAGAAATACTATGGAAGATAAACAGAACATATCTGAGAGCTATTGTGGCTGGTAGACCACTGGTAAACATTAATTTTCTTTATTAAGATTCTCAATAAGCTCCTATGGGATACCAGGAGCCCAGAAAGTGGAGATAAAAATAAATAATGACTAGGTATAACTGTCAAGTGTTCCAATGACGCTGTTACATAACATGCTCAGAGACCTGTGCTTGGTGGCATGTGGCTTGAATGGCACCCGGAAGAGCCTATGGCCTAGAGGAAGGCGTTGGCTCTTGGTTGGCTCACAGTTGGTGTTTGCTGTGACTTCAGAGAAATAATGTGAGTTATACAACTGTCCCTAGCCCCTAACTAAGTGCTTCCTCAATGCCAGGCATGGGGATAAAACCCTGACCAATACCTTTTTTATGTGGGTGTAATTATATCCACTTTATGGTCGCAAGAGGCCGGGTCACATCCAAGCCCTCATCTGACTTCAAGGACCCCACCATGCCGCTTCTCCTGTTTGGATGCTTGACTATAATCCAACACTGTGTTTCAATTGAAAAGATAAATTTTATTCTCAAACAGGATGGCAGGAGAAGTTGAAGATGCTGTTACTTTGTGGCTAGAAATGCGATGCAGCGGAGAAAGCAAAGCATTGTGTTTCCTTCATTGGGCTTCGGGTGTGAGTGCTCTCTCTGCTCTTTCTCCTTAGTCCGCTGACCTTCAAGAAGTCATGTTCATGGCTCTCGTCAAGGACAGACCCAAGTTCGTCCGCCTCTTTCTGGAGAATGGCTTGAACCTGCGGAAGTTTCTCACCAACGATGTCCTCACGGAGCTTTTCTCCAACCACTTCAGCACCCTTGTCTATCGGAACCTGCAGATCGCCAAGAATTCCTACAATGACACCCTCCTCACCTTCGTCTGGAAACTGGTGGCCAACTTCCGAAGAGGCTTCCAGAAGGAAGACAGAAATAGCCAGGACGAGATGGACATAGAGCTTCACGTATGTCCTGGGGGAATTGTCTGCATGAATTCTGTGCTCCTTTGAGTCTTCCTTCAGAAACTTTCTCTACCTGCCCCTTTCCCACTCCCTGCCTCGTTGCCATACAGTAGCTAACATGCTGGCAGTGTTAATTTTTTCCCACTGCCTTTAGTTAAGACAATGAGTCTACTTGGTGAATTTTCTGATGTCTTGCTTTATACTCTGTGCTGTATCTCATACCAGTTCTTGCAATTTTTCTTAATTGCAAAGCTTGGTGTGGCACACACTTTCCAAAGGCGTCGGACAGGGAACAGGGACTTGATCTGCCTAAAATAGCTCTCAGTGGCCCATGTAAAGGACTGGGGAATGCCACGTTTTCTTTGGTGGATATAGGGGCAGCGAATGTTTCCAAAGGGATAATCCAAGCGTCCCCTGGAGAGGATGTGTGGCCACACCACCGTACTCTTTCCTGTTTTCCTGTTTAAGCACAGGCAGGCCCAGTTCCCAGCTGCCAGCACCTGCAACTCTTTGCTGAAGGTTTGTCTGGTCAGGGCCCGATGACTGCCAGACGCTGGTGTATAAAAACCCCAGCTCTCTCCCGCGTGGAGGAGGTAATTCCGAGGCACGGTTCTACCCTGACTCCTAGGGTTTCCTGGTGGGACCGATCTCTCATGGACCGCCATGACAGCTTGTGGACAATGCGCCTTGTTTGTTCTTTCTTTTCGGATCTCATTTGCTCACTCTCTTCTTGGTGTTCCTGGGACACCTCTCAAATGAACTACTTGCCTCAGGATTGCTTCTGAGGAAACTAGGTCATTATCTTTTGTGATTCTAGGATTTTAATGTGTGTGTGTATATTGTAAAAAATCTAAATGAGACTCAGTGCTTGAAACAATTGGAAGTGTTTAGAAGGCTTCTGTTTGATACTAATTATGGTAAAACCCTCTGTGGTATCCATAACCGGCCTGAAGCAGTTTGGACTTTGATAAAACCTGTAGGGATATGTAAAAGGAATATATACATTTAGCTGTTTTCTATCTGAAAAGGTTCCAGTGAGATATGGGGTGCTGAGTGGGAGTGGGGATTCTATATAATTGATGTATTAGGAATCGAAACTGAGTAACACTCCAAAGAAATAAGTATAGTTTTATGTTGTGATCATTGAATTTAAACTACAGGAAAGTTAGAATTTAGCTTGAGTCATTTTTCTAGATGAGAAATAGATTTATATCATGAGAAAGAACTGCTTTCTCTTTGGCTGTCACAAGTCATTCATTGTTTAAATTGTTCTCAGCACATTTTTTCACCCTTTAAACCTTTCCATCTAGTTGCACGGTGTCTTTTATGATAGATAAAAGATTCTGTGTCAAATTATACCACCTGGTGAGTGGCAGAGCTGAAAATCGCATCACTGTGCTGTTAAAACGGATTCACACACCAAGTTACAGAGCGCTGTAACCATAGGGTTCCCCCCTGGGGCATCCTGACCCCGCTGTCATTCTTAGAGCAGTGCAGCCACACCAATGCCCTGTTGGCACGTGCTGACCACATGCTCTGACCCCTCCCAGGACGTGTCTCCCTTTACACGGCACCCCCTGCAAGCGCTCTTCATCTGGGCTGTTCTGCAGAACAAGAAGGAACTCTCCAAAGTCATCTGGGAGCAGGTAACGTGCGGGCCACACCGGACGTGGCTTTGTTGTGGGCGTCCGGCCTTCTGCACACTCGCATGCCTAAGCTAGAATGTCCTCAGCAGAAGGGAACATCTACTGCCGGAGGAATAGGGTCATGCTTGTTGCCATGTTGACCAAAGTGTGTTTGGGAGGACAGGTCCCTGGAAGCCAGCTGTGCCGGACGGGTAATCCAGTAGGCGCCTGCTTCCTGGGTGTGTGATCGTTTTCCAAGTGGATGAGTTTTTTAAGTTTAATTTTAAAATTTAATTTCTAGTATGACTGCATAATGGACAGGAAGTGGGGCCTGGACAAATTCTGCTTTGGGCAACTTACTGAGATTTTCCTTTTTTTGATGTAGCACAGAATGATGTTTTGTAAGTGATTTCTGCACAGTTGAAAAAGAAGTTCCGTTCTCCATTTTTAGCGCATAAAATTGGATATTGAATATTGAGCTCATATGCACGGCCTTAATAACTATGTTATCAGGCCTTCCGTGTCCTTATCCACGTTTCCCTCTTTGAACTGTTACAGTATGAGTGGGTAGTCCCACTGTTACGGTCTTACGGTCAGCATCTTGTGGCACTTGCCTTGCTAGTTCCCTTTTATATGCTAATTTCGTGTTCAAGACTGAGTGTATTTAGGTTCAACGCTACCTTGTGCTCATTGCAAACTTTGCTTTGAGTCATGATGAACAGTTTCCGCCTTTGCCATGAGCTCGTCCTTGTCTGACACGAGTGTTGACCTGACCACTTTGAGGAATGATAAATTGACCCCATCATTCCCCTCCCCTCGTGAAGACCAGGGGCTGTACTCTGGCGGCCCTGGGAGCCAGTAAGCTGCTGAAGACTCTGGCCAAGGTGAAGAATGACATCAACGCGGCCGGGGAGTCCGAGGAACTGGCCAACGAGTACGAGACCCGTGCAGTGGGTAAGCCTCCAGGATGGGAGGTCCTGTGGGTACAGGCATGCCAGGTGGCCCTCGGGGGCTTGTGGCACTCACATGCCAGGTGGCTGAGGTCAGTGGCATGTCCAAGCTCTTGCCTCTGGCTTGATTCGAGGGCTGCAGACCACATGGTCGGGGCATACGTGCCACAGGCCCCTAGCTTCTGGCACTTACTGACTTTTCCACGAATGAAAGTGGGAAATGCTGGGCCCTCTCATCCCTCTCTTTTCTCAGACCCAGGTCAGAGGAAGCCAGCAGCACAGGGAGCTTTGAGGTGTTTTGTTTTGGGTGCTGTTAAGAAACTGTGCCGGGTCTGAGGTTTTACCTGACTTGCAGGCCATCAATTGGGTTGTCGGAAAAGTTATGACGCATGTTTGCGACAGATGGCACTAGTTCATTTTTGGAAGTACTAGAGTCATTTGTATCTATGTTATTGCTATGTCATTTGACAGCTGACAGTTCTAGTTTCATTCTTTAAAAAAATTGAGCGATTTGGTTGAGTTTTGGAGATTTTACAACAAGTTGAAGATGGAAGACCAAACTGTGCATTTTCGCCATATTTTACTGTTTTACTTCCATAAAGGGAAGAACGCGCGTCCAGCTTGTGAAAAGTTGCATAAAGTTTACAGTGACGATGCCCTACAAGAACGTCAGTGCCAACAATGGGTCACGAAATTCCGTGCTGGTGATTTTGATCTCAATGACGCTCCTTGGTCAGGGAGGCTCACCGAGGTTGATGATGACAAAATAAAGGCATTGATCGAGTCAAACCCACGTTACACGACACGAGAGATTTCAGAAACATTGAACATCCATCATTCAAGCATTCACGACCACCTGAAGAAGCTGGGATACGTAAGCAAGCTCGATATTTGGGTTCCACATGAACTCGAAGTTCATTTGATGGCGCGTATAAACATCTGCGATATGCTCATTAAACGTGAGAAAAATGATCCTTTTTTTTTTAAAGATTTTTATTGGGGAATTGGGGGGATGGGAACAGTGCTGGGGAATTGGGGGAAGGGGAACAGACAAGTTGCTGTTGTTTTGCTCTCTTCAGTCTAGTTGTGGAGGACGTCGCTTCACTGGCCCAAGTTGGCACCATCATTATGCTCTTCCCGGGCAAGGCAGATCAGTCGCCGGCTTCTGGACGGCCGCTCACTGCAGCTGCTGGCCACTCACGCTGGCTGCTGGCTGCTCACGCTGGCTGCTGGCTACATACGGTAGCCCATGGCAACCCACTGCCACAGGGGCTGCAGCCTACGCCGTCGCCGGCGACTCAAGGCAACCCAGCTCCAGGTTGAGCTGTTGTTCAGCATCTTAGCTGTGGAGGGCAGCGTCACTGGCCCTCATATGTGGGATCTGAACCGGGGCCCTCTGGTGTCCCAAGCCAGTTCTTAACCATCGCGCCACTCGGCCGGCCCAAAATGATCCTTTTTTGAAGCGACTGATAACTGGTGATGAGAAGTGGATTGTTTACAACAATGTGGTGCGCAAATGGTCTTGGTCCCAATGTGATGATTCGCCTCAACAATGAAAGCAGACATTCATCAGAGGAAGGTTATGCTCTCAGTGTGGTGGGATTTTAAAGGTGTTGTGTTTTTCGAGCTCCTACCAAGCGACCAAACAATCAATTTGAATGTGTACTGTCGGCACTTGGACAGTTTGAACAAATCCATCATCCAGAAACGTCCAGAGCTTGTTAATTGTAAAGGAGTTGTGTTCCATCGTGACAACGCGAGACCACACACAAGTCTGATCACCTGTCAAAACTTATTGGAGCTTGAATGGGATGTGTTGCCACAGCCACCATACTCGCCTGACCTTGTGCCGTCAGACTTCCACTTGTCTCACTCTCTTCAAAACTCCTTGCGTGGTATAACGTTCAATTCAGACGAGGCTGTAAATCAGCACCTTGTTCAGTTTTTCGCAAATAAAGACAGGTCCTTCTAGGAACGAGGAATTATGAAGCTCACTGAAAGATGGCAAAAGGTTATCGAAAAAACGGGCAACATATCATTGATTGATCTTTGTTCTTTATATAAATAAATGACCTTTGAAAAACAGACAAAATATGTCATGACTTTTCCGACAACCCAATAGTTAGCTTGCGCATTTCACATACATATCCAGACAGAAGGCTTCAGACCCCTGGGGCTTGTTACTAATGACAAAGGCAGAGCCACAGGTGCACCTTGGGTAGGTCCCTGTGCCTTGATTCCCCTGCAGTGATGTGAGTAAGGGCTGCTGCTGCCTGCCCTGCAGCGCCCCAGGGAGGGGACTCGAAGCTTCTATCAGGGCTGCAGGTGACCTGCCCATGTGCCCCTCCAGGACATGATTACTCATTACCTGGAATGGAAGAGGAAGAGGCAGTGCTAAGCCTCTCTCCTGGAATGTCTGTCCCCTGCTATCCAGTCGCCCCTAAACAAAGCTTGTCAGTACCCTTTGCTCAGAAGGCCCGGACCATGATAGAATGTGAGAGATCCAGGACCAATAGCCTCCCCATAACACAGAGTTTCAGATCTGCCCACGGTTCCCTTTTTCATGTGGGAATTTGAAGTTTGCAGTGTGGTACGTTGCAGAATGCACTCATGTTTTTCTATTATTGTAGCTAATGGAGAATGCTCATGAGATTAGCTTCTCTGTGTTGGAAAAAAGGTGCCCAATGATTTCTTTTTAATATATTAAATTATGTTACTGTCTGACTGGCCTCGACTAGGCGGTGGCTCCTAATATTTGAAAAATTTCTATATGAAATGAGATGGGAGGAGGTTGCTCTGGGCAAGGGAGGCGGGGGGGGGGTCTGGATCCCCTTCCCAGTGGCTGAGCCCCACCAAAGAGGGGGCTCCCAGCACTCGGTGCAGCTCGGTTCAATGGGCACCTGTTTACACATGGCGCCTTGAGGGGCTGTGCTTGGGGTGGTGTACAAAGAGAAATCCCCTCTGTTCAGTAAAGAGCTACGTTGTGCTGGCATTCCCTGCGCCTTTTGCAAACCGGGGGCGCTCGCACCACAGCTTTTCTTGAAGTCAGGGCTTGGCTGGGGGGGCGGGGGCACAGTTTTGGGAACTGGCCAGCCCTACCTCCGTCTTCCTTCTCTCTGGCGATACGGTGACTGCAGAGCTGTTCACGGAGTGTTACAGCAGTGACGAAGACTTGGCTGAGCAACTGCTGGTCTATTCCTGCGAAGCCTGGGGTGGAAGCAACTGCTTGGAGCTGGCGGTGGAGGCGACGGACCAGCATTTCATCGCCCAGCCTGGGGTCCAGGTAAACAGCGTAGTCACCAAACGCCACACCCAGGAATGGGCCTTTTGCATCAGATGCTGTTAGTGACATCGACAAGTATAATCTTAACAGCAGACCTTCTCCTCCAGTATAAAAGCTGTGGCAGGGAAGGTGGGTGATGTTGCAGCAGACAGCAGATGTAAGCATCAGTAGAGATCATTGCTTCAGGAGATGGTGCCCAAGAGAGAAAGTTCTGTGAGTTTCCGCAAAGCCAACGGTACAGCACCATAATTATGGGCGGGGTCTCTGAATCCCAGGGTCTAGGTCCCAATCCACTGCATCCTCACCAGGTGTGGTGATAGGCCAGGTTACTCTGGGCCTTGGTTCCTCACCTGTGAAATGGGCACAATAGAGGTTACAGGGAAGGGATACTGTGAGGATTCAGTGAGATGGTGTGTGAGAGGTCCGGCCTTGATGTCCGCTGTTGCTGTTACAGTTATGAGTGTCGTAACGTTAGTAGAGAAACTAGTATGAAATGGGTAGAGCCAGCAGAGAGGTTTTCCTGCACCGAATTAAATTAATAGTGGTTTGCACCCGGCATCCCAGGTTGCAGAGTGGAGATTTTCTACCCATAATCCCAGTGGGAGGGGTCTGGGTGTGAAGTGGAGAGTAGGGAAGAGATAGACTGGCTGCCACCTGCCTGCCACACCGCACCATGGTCACGTTTCACCTGCACAGCATGCTTCAAGGTGAACATCACACTATTTTCCTGGTGAGGATTCAGGAGCTCAGAGATGTTCTGGAACGTTCTCCAGGTTGCACTACTAGGAAGTAGCAGAACTGGGATTTGATTCCCCGTTAATTGTCCATCATATGCATGATACCATGCAGCTAATAATTAGTACAGTGTTTATGCAAAAATCGTTTGCGACTGTAGCTAAGCTGGATCACACAGGAGCAGTCAGCTATGACAAGGAACACACAAAGAAGGGGTCCTGCTATGGCTTCGTTTCAGCCTCTGCACCGGAGCAGGCTGGAGCGAGGCTGACACCAGGTCAAGGTTGCCTGGAAGGCTGGCCAGCTGTCAAGACACCAGGCTCTGCTCACAGCTGGCCAGCTGTCAAGGCACCAGGCTCTGCTCACAGCTTCTTAGGCCCCAAACCCCATCTTGCTGGCGTCCCAGAACTTTGGGCCTGGGGAACGCTGACTCACGCTCCCGTCCCGAGGATTTCAACTAGATGCCAGTTCATGGAAAATCCCCCGGAGGCCCGTGAGACCAGGGAGTTTGATTTCTATAGGCAGGCTGCTTTGTGGGGTTAGATGTCACAGGTGGCCCTGGAACCCGAGCTAAGGGAGAGCTTTCTGTGACGGGGGGCCTAATGGTGCCACTCAGTGACAGCCAGCCACGGTGGGCACGTGAGAGTGAGGAAGGCTGGACATCACCTGTCTTTGTTTGAGGCCCCCCCCAGAAGCAGGCCCCAAATCGAGGATTCAAATGCCCCGGAAGCACCTGAGGGGAGTGTGTGAAGGAGGAAGTTACACTGTGCAAAACAGGGCCAGCAGGAGAAGCCATCTTCTCCTAGAGGGAGTGATGGGGGTGTGGGTGGGGCACACCTGTTCCAGCCCTCCTGGCCCCAGGTTTCCGCTTGTCCTGCCATGAGACACACCAGTCCCCTTCGGACCGACACATTCTTTTTTGAGAGCCACACATTCCTTTGATGGGGTCCAGTCTATGCTCACCCCTTTTGTGTTGACTTACTGTGTGGCTGTCAGAGGCGACCTGAGTTTTTTAACAACCACCTTCATGGGAGGTCCCCGGTCCCACCTGTTGGATTAGTATAATCTCCCGAAAGCATTTCCATGCGTTTCAACTCAAGTTGATGTTGAGACGACAGTGGTTGTTCCCTTTCTGACTCTGAGTTTGATTTCAAACAGGCAGAAGCAGGGTCATGTCTTCACTATCCCAGGCAGAATGTATTTTTAACCATGAAATGAATCTCACCACATAGAACCCAATTTAGGAAAGGACTGAAAATCAAACAGAATTTAAATTGTCATGGTTCCTTGGAATCCAGGCAACTAATAAGAAGGAAGAACCTTAATTCAGATATTATTTATTTTGGGAAGGAGCAAGGGCTGGGGAGAAAGATTGCGTACCCTCCCGCGTTTCGTTCCATTAATAAGCACTTGTGTCTTTTGTCTCTGTCGCCCTGTAGAATTTTCTTTCCAAGCAATGGTACGGGGAGATTTCCCGAGACACCAAGAACTGGAAGATTATCCTGTGTCTGTTTATTATTCCCTTGGTTGGCTGTGGCTTTGTGTCATTTAGGTAGGAAACCAAAGCACATAACCACACACATGCATGTGTGCGTGTGTGTGTGTGTGCGCGCGCGTGTGTGCACGCCCGCGCGTTCCTGAGTAAAGGACTGTAAGGTCGGGAACTTATGACTTTGACTCTACTGCCTACAGTTAGGTCTGGGATCGCCTCTGGCTTTTCCTGGGTTTGATTTCAAACAGGTAGAGGTGGGAGCCTGTCTTCTCTCTCCCGGGCAGAATGTGGGCCTGCTAGCCCGGAGGTGCCGGGGCTGCGTGGTGGCTGGGTCAGTCTTTGAACACGGGGCTGGCCCCACCCGCACCCCTCTGTGGGTCTAGACTCACTTCTGTTGGGAGGGAGGGCTGCGGTGCCCAGGTGTCTGCGCCATGGTGACGGGTCTTCCCTCCCGACCAGGAAGAAGCCGGTGGACAAGCCCCGGAAGCTGCTGTGGTACTACGTGGCCTTCTTCACGTCCCCCTTCGTGGTCTTCTCCTGGAACGTGGTCTTCTACATCGCCTTCCTCCTGCTCTTCGCCTACGTGCTGCTCATGGATTTCCACTCGGTGCCGCACCCGCCCGAGCTGGTCCTCTACGCGCTGGTCTTTGTCCTGTTCTGCGATGAAGTCCGACAGGTAGGACGGCCCCCCGGGAGGGCGCCTCTTCCTTTCCTCAGTGAGCGGGTCTCCCTAAGGCCCAGGAGGAGCAGACGTTGCTTCTCAAGTTCCAAAGTCATGCTTTCCCCCCAGATAATTGGTCGCGCTAGGTGGTGGCCCACCAACTCAGTGAAAATGACCTTTCAGCATCGTGGCATCCCAGCGAGACCTCCGAGCACCCAGTGCACTCTTTGCTCTGTCATTAATGTTAATGGTGGAGATGTGTTACTCGGCACCGGGCATGTGTTCCGAGAGCAGGTTGACCTTGGACGGTAACCCCGCTCCCATCATTGGGAGCCATTTGTGTTCTGGCCATTGCAGTCAGCGGGGAAGGCAGCGGGATAATTGGCAGGGGAGGTGGGAGGGACTTCCAGCTAAGAGCATCTTAATGCCCACCCAGCGTGTCAGCGATGGAGTGGGGAAGTCACAGAAGTCCCTGTGGGCTTCAGCGAGTTTGCGTGAATTATTCATGGTGTTTTTCTGCAGTTTCTTGGGATCTGCAGTTTTTGGCATTCTCTCTCCTCCACTGAATCCAAAACTTGGCACGTCGTAGATGCTCAGTTAGGAATTGTTGAATAAATAAATATTGGTGACAGTGAGGGACGGTGCTGTCCCTAAACCATTAGCCATCCCAGAAAATCTTTTCAGACTTAGCAGTTTACAAATTATTGGAGAACTGCTGTTGCCATTGCTTCTGTTGTCCCTTCTGAGCCCAAACCCAACATCATACCCATTCAGCAAGTATGGCCTAGGTGCTTAGTTTCTGAGATATTATGCCAAGTGCCACGACAGGTTTGGAAGGGGCAAAGGATGCTGTTTGTGACTTCACAGAGTTGCCGCCCAGTGGTGTAATCCTAAATGGGTCTCAACTGTCATGCCAACTCTAATAGACTTCTTCTGTGGCTTCGAGGAGTCCTGAGTTGAGAAAGACTCCAAGGCTCTGTCTGTTCCTGTTGGAGGGTGTCCTGATCGATTAGTGATGTCTGCCATGGGTGCAAAAGTGGGAGGAGTGCTGGCGCCAGGGCCCTGCACCTGCCTTCCCTTGCCTAGTCTGTGTGAAGTGCACATGGGGGATGGAGAAGGGGTGGAGGTGGCGGAAGAATAATGTAAATGCCACAAGTCAGTGTCAGGCATGGCAAGGTGACCAGGCTTTCTGTCTACCAGCAACTTTCCCCCAGGACAGGGTCCTGCTGATGTGTAGAGGGTTTTTGTGACTTCAGATCAGCCTCGTTCGAGCCCCATGCATCAGCTCAGGAGGTCACAGCCTAGTGTATGTAGCTCATGCCTTCTTGTCATCTGCTAGGGCCACTGTGACAAAGCACCACCCACTGGGTGACTTTCACATCAGAAGCTCATCGTTTCATTTCTGGAGGCCTGAAGTCTGAGCTCAAGTTATCAGCAGGGCTGGTCCTTCTGAGGCCGAGAGGGAGAATCTGTTGCCAGCCTCTCCCCTGGCTTCGGGAGATTGGCTGGCCATCTCCGCCATTCCTTGACTTGTAGATGCACCACTTGAACCCTGTCCTCATGCCCACGTGGCATGCTCCCTGTGTGCATGTCTGTGTCACGTTTCCCCTTGTTGTGAGGACACCAACCATATTAAACCAGGGGCCCATTCTATTCAAGTATGACCTCGTCTTAGCTAATGACATTCTGCAGGGACCCTATTTCCAAACAAGGTCACATCCTGAGGTGTGTGTGGATTAGGACTTCAGTGTATGAATTTGGGAGGGACACAGTTCAACCCACAAAAAATACTTTCAATATAATCTCTCTCAGCTGCCATCTTTTCCTTGCTGCTGTCTTTCTGACTTACTGTGTGTCAGCTGCAAGAAGGTGGAAGCACCCTGTCTGAGAGAAGCAGAGAAAGATGGAGGGAGAATCAGCACGTAAAACGGGAAGGGGCCCAAACCAACACGAGAGTTAACCAAGAACCTTTTCACTAGGAACCCCCTGAGTTACGTTGTGGTAGGAGCTGCCCCTGCACAAGACCACGTGTGTTCCCTTCTCCTAAACCTGTGTGGTCAGGTTCTGGGGCCCTGGCCGCCTCTCTTTGCTCCACTCCCGGGGTGGTTGGCCACTTTTCAAAGGCACATCTGAGAGAAAGCGACAGCATTCCTAGTTTAGCTTTTGCAGAGAAGGGGACATGAGGGTGGAGGGCTTTGTCACACTGGAGGAGAGAGGCCCCGAATCTCATCCCATCTGAGTGGCCAGCAGACCCTTGTCCGTGTGGACTGGAGAGGCCCTTTCCGCCACCACTGTCTTCCCAGTAGTGGACTCTGTGCTAAAGTGACTGGTCTGTGGCTGTCAGCAGGCATGGAGGGCAGCCGTCCTGCTCCTGGCAGAGGCCGTGGGGCCACCTGGGAGGTCACACAGGACTCTGGGGGCCCCGGTGGTGTGGGTCACGCACATGACCCTAAGCTGTATGGGCTTCGTGGATGTGACAGGGGAGCAGTGAAGGGCACCAGAAGAGGCGTGGGATTGTGTAACCTTGAGCATCACACGTCACGGCTCTGGTGTCTTCACCTCAGGTGAGCAGCCTGACATCGTAAATGAAGTCACGGAATAATAGGGCTGAGTAACAGGGAATTCCTGCCCAGTGGGGAAAGAAGTCAGGGGCACAAGAAAGCAGACAGAGGGGAAAGGCAGGGGGAGGGGAAACCGCCGGAGCTGCAAATGGTACAGTATGGAGATGACTTAATGTCTTTGATCTTCTGGGTCTTCGTCCTTAAATGGGCATCTTTCGTACTGCAAGAGGCATTGAGAAGGAGAGGGTGGGGTGCCTCACACGGATGGGGTGCCTTACACCTCATCTCGTCCGTCTCATCTGGCATCGACTCCACTGGCAGTTCCTTTGCGCTTGTCCAGCTCCTCGCATGTGCTGGGCTGTTGCCCAGAATTGGGTGGCATGGAAATGACCTGATTCAGAGGTTTGTTTCTGATTCATATTGGATCCTCAGGGACTAGCCCCAGAGCTGGCGTCGCCGTATTTCTGCCAAGTGTGTGAGTGTGTTTTCAAGAAATGAATTGATGAGCTGGGGTCTTCATGATTCAACCCCAGAGGTGTGCCCTGACCGAGTAAGCGAGGAGTCAGGATAGCAGTGCTGGGAGATGGGGGGAACCTGGCGTGAAGAGGCTCAGGGGGTTCTTTTGAGCAGAGGGTGCTGTCGGAGGCTGCTTCTTGGAATGGTAGGTAAAAAGAAAAAGTCCTTTCCTGCCCCTTACTCACACTCCTGACATTCCTCTACCAGCCCTGTTCCCGACCCTGCCTCCTCTGTTGCATCGAGACACAGAAGCTGCTGTGAGAGGCCAAACATTATTTGGTTCCCCTGGGTTCTAAAGAAGCCATGAAGTCTAGAAAGAGGACTTATTGTGGGGTGCTTTTGAGGGCCAGGCTTGGCCTGGATGGAAGATGAAGGGAGACACATCTTGGTTTAAACCAAACACCTCATTTGTGCAGTCTTTCTTTCAATGAGTGTTTATTGAGCACCTACTACATGCCAGGCTAGACACTAGGGAGGCAGCAGTGGGCCAATAGACAAATATATCTGTTTTGTGGCGCTTTTGACCAGTTGGAGATGATTGGCAAGGTCATTTCTTGGAGCGTTCAAGGACAGGAGAGTGACACCAAATGAGCGAGTCTTACATTTACTGGGAGGTTGGCCCAGAGGACTTGCCACAGTGACATTTGTCCTTAAGCCACACACACCTCCAGACAAATTCGGATGTACGTTTAACTATGCAGCCATTTATTTGGGCCGTGCAGGTAGGAGACTCAGGGCAGGTGCGTTTTGCTGCGAGAAGGACCCTGGACAGATGTAGTGTGAAGCGGTGCCCGGGAGAGACACATGCAGGGACGCTGAGTAGGAGCAGCCTGTGGGCAGGTGCAGGAACCTTGGGGAGCGGGGTGGGCTGTGGAGGTGCCTGGGTGAAGCAAAGGTCATTCCCGGGGCCTGCCCAGAGGAAGTGATGCCCACACGGCCTGGCCGAGTCCCGGCTTCCCTGTTTACCTTCCTAACGGGTGAAGTTTGATACGGAGGGTGGTGATGACGTGTAGCTTTGTCCAAGGGTTTCTTCTCTTTCTTTCTAAAAGTTACTTCTGAACGGGCCAGTTTAGATTCAGCAGGACTGCGGGTGAGCCACGTGGGTTCAAGTTCAGCTCTCTGCTTTAAGGACAGCCCTGGTTCTGTGGTCTGCGAGCAAGTCGGCACGGCACAGCCTTGAGGACTCTTGTCACGCAAGGAAGCTGACACTCGGGGTCGCTGTTTTCCTTCTTGTCTGCAGATGCCTGCATTTGGAATCAATCCTCGGTTTGATTGGTTTCCTCTAACAACCGGTTCTGCCAGCCTGGTGCAGCCTCAATTAACCTCATTCACACTTGTTAGGAAAACCAAAACCAAGCAGGATGTTACTGCCTTAGATTGTGTGTGGGTGTCACAAAGCGCGCTCTTCAGTGTCACCCCATGTCCCCTTCCCCTGGGGGCAAATGTCAATGTGCTAAATTGGAAATGTTAACCAAGGCAGTCAATAAGCTCCAATATAGTCATTCAATAACTCTTGGGGTTATTGTGGATGTTTATTTAAAATAAGTTCCACCATCTCTTCATGGAGAGCGCGGTGCAATCTTGAGGCCCTTTGAACCCCCAAATCCTGAAAGAGAAGATGCAATATGGTCCTGGTACTTCACGAAGGTAGCCCAGAGCTGGCATTCCATTCAGCAAAGAGGCCTCTATTCATTAAAAAAAAAAAAGTTTTATTACTGCAGCAGTGCCCCGGAGACCCAGGGTTGATCTACTTAGGGCTTCTCCCATCACACAGGCCAGGCTTCTGAGGGTTTCGTGGATAGAGGCTGAGCCGGGCTGGGGCGCTGGTCCCCCTGTGCCCACCTGCCCCTGGACCAGGGTTTCAAAGAGGGAGCAGGCAGCAGCTGGAGCTTGTCTCCACCACCCTCATCTTGCAAATGGTTTTTGGTGAGTGGTAATCAAAGTCACCAGGACCTCCCAAATGGACAGTTAGGGATTCCGACCTGATTCCTGAGCTCACAGTGAAACGTGGTCAAACCTGGGAGATTTTAACATTCCCTTGGTGCTTGATTTCCGAATGCATTTACCCCCTTGGTCCATGAAAGTTGCTATTTGCATTTATATAAATTATAAATGCTATCTGTATTCATAAGGAAATACTCCTCAAGACACCAGTGATGCTTTTTGAACCCCTTCCAAGCCTATGATGGTGGGATCCCTGTGGCATCTAAATAAGCAGTGTGATGTTGGGGAGAGGAGCTGGAGCTTCAGAAACTGGAGGCCACCCCTTGGCGGTCATCTGCCTTTGGGCAAGCTCTTTAGCTTTTTTTCTTCTAGGCCTTGGTTTCAGCTGCAAAACAGGAACTATAATATCTGAATATCAAACAGACCCATATTGATGAGTCTATTTAGCAAGATTGAAAAGTGCCATGTTTCTTTGGTGACACTATTTGCCTGCCCTACACTAGAAAATCTGGGGCTCTCCTTATCCGAGCACCCCTGGGGGCTTTGGTCTTCGCTCCCCTCCAGGCCTGATCCCATTTCATTGTAAACGTGTTGAAATTCTGTCCTTCCCAAGGGCCAGTGGGTTCTTTGAGACTCAGCATTGCACCTGACAGCTTGTCTTTGTGTCCGAGGAGCCTGGCACGAGGGTTTGGCACCCCGTGGGCTCTCAGTAAACATGTTTGAATGGACAGACTGCCCAAGTCCAGTGCCATGAAGTGCAGAGAGGCTGGCCAGCTGCAGTCTTCCAATGGATGCGCCTTACCACCTTCATCTCAGTGTTGAGCTGACACGCCTTCTTCTGAGAAATCACGACCAATGCACATAAGTCATGATGAAAGGACACTGAGGCACACTGTTCCTGTCACTTATTTCTATGACCACCTCTGTCCTCATAGGGGCCACATGTATCACCTCTGTGCAAATGAAAAGAAACACAAGGTTCCTTTTTATCAAGATGTTTGTTGCTACATACCAGAACATTTTTACAATATACACACAAATCTATGATGATGACAATATAGGTAACACCCTGTAGAGTTGTGCAGTGCACAGCCTACACCACTGTATGTGGTGGCCTGGGAATTCCACATCGGCCGTCACAGGTTGTACCCATTCTCTGCGGGTTCACCTTTCAAGAACAATAAGGATACATGAGCCTCATCTTTTTGTTGACTCTGTCAGCAACACATGAGTAACAGAACTGCAAACATGCAACTTACTTTCTAGACCCCCTGGAATAGCACGGGCATGTGTGAAGGCTCCCTCAGCACATCATTGGCTCCAAAAGGATCCGGGAAAAATGTGTAAACATTAAAAAGCCGGGAAGCATAGGACGTTTCCAAGCTGCTCACGACCCCTCTCTGCCTTTCTGTGCTGCAGTGGTACATGAATGGGGTGAATTACTTTACTGACCTGTGGAACGTTATGGACACACTCGGCCTTTTCTACTTCATCGCAGGAATTGTGTTTCGGTAAGTAGCCCTCACCACTTTGCCCAGTTTCCGGTGGTTTGGGATTCTTTTTGGAGAAAAGATGAAGGGAAGATGTTTGACGATGAAACCCAAGATAAGCCTGTTCACCATCCCGTTAGAAATTATCACAAAAAAAACACTGTCTGTGCTTCTTCGAGACACAGCTTGGTTGGCAGAAAGTTGTGTTTCCTCTTTTCCCCAACCCCCTCCTGGTGATCTGTAATTGAAAAGGGATTCGCCACGGTTTTTCTCTCTGTGCTCGTAGAACTTGGGGAGAAAGAATTAGAAACTGGGGAGAGTGGAGAATGATGAGGGTGTTAAATGTCGCACAGTGTTTTCATCTTGGGCCACATGATCTCCTAAAATGCCTGTCACTTCAGCTTGATTACTGGTTATGGAACCCGCCCTCTCTGTTACAAGCATATTTCCAGTTTAAAACCAATAACGTTAGAAAAAGCAATCTAAAATTACAGTTGAAAGCAAAAAGCCAAGTGTAATCCACATGGTATAGAAATTGGGGTGCACCCCACACCACAGCTCACATTGCCCAGGCCCACGTCCTTCCAGGCCTGCCTTCCCCAGAGAGCTTCGGGGTGAAGGTCAGGGTTGTACTTGAGCAACACACAGGATGTCCCTTTGAAGACAAACCTGACTACCATACTCACACCTACCCAGAACGAGATGGCCTACAATGAGCGCCCACTCTTCAAGGGAGTAAAAACGGGATTTTCGCTTCCAGGAACCCCCCTTTGTGCTTGGGTTAAGGGCCCAGCATTTGAGTCACAGCTGGTCGGGCATGACTTCTAGAGCATTCCAGTTGGAAAGCACATATGGCTTTCGCAATTAACACATTAGCATGCGGTTAGCTAATGAAATGATCTGGTGCAAACGAGGGACGTTTCATCAGGGGAAACCTGGCAGGGTCAAGTCCCCAGGGGTTGGACTGGGGTGGGGACCGGCATCATTAGAGAAGCCTCATGCGCGAGGAAAGGAGCCATGATGTGACTGGGTTCGGGAAGTGGGATGTGAGGATGGAGGCCTGAGGTGGCGGGAACCTCTGAAAGCTCTGCTGAATGTGACATCCTCGCCTCTCCTGGAGTGTACTTTGGTGTTCAGTGACTGACAGGTGGTGGCGTCCATCTCCCGTTGCCACTCTCTTGCACTCCCTGACTCTCAGCTGCGTTTTCACCTTTGGTTATTTTTAAAGAACAAAACTTTGAAATGTCTTGTCCATATCTCACAGCTCCTGTTCCCCTTCCTTCCATAGGCTCCACCCTTCTAATAAAACCTCTCTGTATTCCGGACGAGTAATTTTTTGCCTGGATTACATTATATTCACTCTAAGGTTGATCCACATTTTTACTGTAAGCAGAAATTTAGGACCCAAGATCATAATGTTGCAGAGGATGGTAAGAACAAAGAATATTTGTAGTTCTCAGTTTTGTTGCTATATCCTGAGTTCCTTTCATTGTTGATGGGAGGTTTTTGTCCATAGAGTGACGGTTGCATTTCACAGTCAGTAAGTTTGCTTTTTTTTTAATGTGTTTTCATCAGGGGCCCCTTTCAGGTTGAAATTTAACCAAAGATGACTGTTAGGAGCAAACAGCATAATTCAGCAAATTGCTAGGAAAGATGTCTGTTTAGATTTTACACTTTACTTGCCTTCATTTGAGTCTTCACAATTCACTAAGAGCATAGGCAGGATACGGACCCATTTTATAGACATGGACAGTGGGGTCCAAGAGGGTTGCTGTGTTTGCCTGGAGACATGCAGTGAGCTAGAGGTATAGCGAGGGTTGGAACTGTGGTCTTATGACCGTGGAATATAGGTGTAGGGGGCACCAGCAGACCCATTTATAGTGTAGTGAAGAGGTAATTGCATACTGAAGACGTTGCTTTCCTAAGCTTGTTTTCCAGATGACCCCACCGTTTCATGCTTCTGTCTTTAAGTCAGATGGGTGTTTGCATGAGCTCATCTGGAGGTTCCTTTCCAACCCTGAGGTTCTTTTGAGTTTGTGGTTTTAATTCAAAGCATATCTGAGGCATCAAGTCACCATGCAGTCAGGCTATGTGTGCAAAAAGTTTTTTTATGAATTAAACGTGCATTCTTGTTTAATAAGGATAGCTTTTATGTTTCTCCAAAAAGAAAAACAAACAAACAACTAAGGGGATCATTTAGGGATTCAAAGAGTGTGAGCATCGTGAGATGTACAAAAGGAGAAGGTGCTCCAAGCTCAGGTCCCTTCTCTGTTCTCAGGCTGGTGCCTCATTCACAAAGCTCCTGTTGCTGAGTTGGTTGGCAGACCTGCAAGCAGAAATGCATCAGTCAGTTTTAATTCTGGAAAGTAGATGTCCCTAGACCCAAAGATGATGACGGCCATCTCTTAAAATGAATGAGCCAACGCTGGGTGACTTAGATTCACGGGCCCTGGGACCTCTGCTCTCTCCATGGCCAGCTGAGCCGACCAGCCGCCCGCGGCGCCACCCTGACTCAGTTCTGTTGTCTTCCCTTGACAGCTGATCGATGTGTTCTTCTTCCTGTTCCTCTTTGCCGTGTGGATGGTGGCCTTCGGTGTGGCCAGGCAAGGGATCCTCAGGCAGAACGAACATCGCTGGAGATGGATATTCCGCTCGGTCATCTATGAGCCCTATCTGGCTATGTTTGGCCAGGTGCCCAGCGACGTGGACGGTGAGCCTGGGTGGGGACAGCTGGGAAGAGGTGCTTGGTTCCAGAACCAGCCTCCAGGGCTCCCCGTTCTGACCCTCAGGGGCCATCCTGGAAACACATGGCTGGGGTTAGGCCCACACCAGGTACTAAACGCAAACCTTAGAAACCTTTTCTTTGCTCCTGAACAGAATTTTACGTGCAAGCTTGTGCCCAACATTTTGGCCTGCAGTTTTTAAACCTTTTAAAAAATAGTGTTGCTCAGATTTTCAATAGCAATGTGGCAATGCAATGAAAGCAGCAAGCCTCACTCGTTTAGAAATGAGTGTTGGGAGTTGTACTCTCTTCTATAACTGGGCACCCGTTTATTTTAAGAAGAGCAGTATTGAAAAATGTGCACTGGAGCCTGGAATTTAAACTTCTAGCGTCAGCCCGCTGGCAACTCTTTTTTGGAGGCTGGCTAATGGGGGTGCAGATGGTATGAATTTGTCCACACCCAGCTGACATTAGGCAAGTGTGGGACATGTGCAAACGGGTATGTGTTTTGAATGAGCTGTCTGAAGCATCTTTGTGACGCTGACAATAGCCTGGACTTGTCAGGTCCTATCCTGCCACCAAAAACTGATCCTGACGCTTTCCCTGCCCTGTTGGCCGCATTTCTCAGCTCCCTGGGCTTCTCCGCGTGGCCTCACACAGTCTTTCTGGCACCTGCTGCTGCAGCATCTTCCAAGACCTGAGAGATGGCTTTTTTCCATGCAGTGATGGAAAGCCACCTTGTTGTCATTATTCCCCATCTGCATACTATACTTGCCCTTTTACACAACTGAGTGTAATTTGTCCTCATGACAACCCTTCACGTGGTGCTTTTCATCCTTTGGGAGGCAGCTCACAGTAACCCAAAGAGCAAGTGGCAATGGGTTTCCAGTCCTGGTCAGCCATGGAGGCGCCCCGGGAAGTGCCTCAGCCTCCCTGTCTCCCCGCTCCTTTGCAGTAAAACTGGTGCAGCCCCACCTTCCCCGCGGGGCCTGGCACCCAGTGGCACTAGCTCACGCAGGCACTCAGACCAGGACCTCTAGCCCAGAGCAACTCTCAGAGGGCCAGCTGCTTACACCCGCTGCCTTCTNTGATCTGCCTCTCCCGGGAAGAGTGCAATGATGGTGCCAGCTTGGGCCAGTGAAGCAACATCCTTCGCAACTAGACTGAAGAACAAAAGGACAGCAACTTGTCTGTTCCCCTTCCCCCAATTCCCCAATGCTGTTCCCCTTCCCCAATTCCCCAATAAAATCTTAAAAAAAAAAGAAAGCAAGGGCACGTGTACCATACCACTCAGAGATAAGTATTGTTAGCAAGCTGGTATTGATTCTATTATTCTTGTGTGGGTGTCTAATAATTTGATTGCTTTGTGCAGATACATCCATACTCAAATTTGTTCATTTAACTAATAATACATCATGACCATTTTCCACACCCATAAATACAAACCTATATGACAACTTCTAACTGGAATATTCCACCGTATCTATATGCCGTAATTAATTCAACAAATCCTGTGTTGTTAAACATGTGGGTTGTTTAAACTCTTTTGTTATCCTATGACACTATGATAACCTGTTTCACGCATTCATTTTTGAGCATATCAGTGATTTCCCCCCCTTTTATTTCTAGAAGAGAAGTTTCTAGATGAACAGTCCGTATACATTTGAGTCCCCTGATATTGCCTGCTTGCCCTGCTCAGCCCCCACTCTTAGGGCTGTACCCATTTACAGATTTTCCAGGATATGGGAACCTGTGTATCGACACCGCTGTCAACACAGGGTGTCAACACTAGCGTACCCCCTGCTCGTCCTCTGGTTTTGTTGGTAGCTATGCTGTGTCATCATTTCTACCAGCATTTCCTGGACTGCTGGAGAAGTCGGGCACGTTTTCTTGGTCACCTGTCATTCCTGCTCTTTGGTCATCTGTATGCAGGACCGTCTGTCCTTCCCATGCTGAGTTTTAGGTCCTCCTATTGGGCTTCTACATACATTTTAGTTTGAGGTTAAAAGACAGTGGAAATGACGTTGCTGGGAAAAACACAATGGAAAGAAATTCAGTTAGGAATTATTTTCTAAAGTGAACAAACACCACTGAAAAATAAACCTGAAGAAAAAAAGAGAGAGAGAAAAGAAGGAAATCTGTATTTGCTGTGTAGGGTTTGCTTTAATCCTGCCCCTTGTAGTACCTCTGTTTTGGATTCCCAATTAATTATCTTTAAATCCTGGAAGATTATATAATTCTTTCTAAATTCTAGTATGTGTATAAGCAAATTTAAAAGTAAAAACGAGATACATTTGCTCTAAGGGGACACCTCCTCGAGCACGTGAATGGTGGCTGTCCATGGCACCTATCAGCTCCAGTGGCATGTTGTTGTGCTGTCTTGTTCACTGGCCATCTGAAAGGTGAGGTGCAGGAAGAAACGGAATGAAGGCCTTGCTGGAACGTGCCCCAGGCCAATGGTGCAGTGTGACCTGACTTAGGCGAGAGGCCAAGACAAGACATATAAGAATTTTCCTGGACTTGTATGCCCTGACTGCATATCTCTGGCGGTAGGGATGATATCAGGGCTTTATCTGCCTCTTCTCCAAAGCTCCTACCCCAGTGTTAGGTTGGAGGCCTCAGGAATTAGCCAGCACAATGATCGGTTTAGCCCTTTTCTGTCTTCAAGATGGAAGAGGAGCACGTGTGAAATGTGAGAACTAGATCCATTAGTGGAATCATTTTACTAAGTCACAAAGCACACCAATGGGTCTTGGGTCGATCTCTAGCATAAAGATTGCATCCCTGTTTCCTGCAGGCAGCTGCAATTCCTCACAGTTACTGAGCAATTCATTTATATCCCATCACTCTGCTGCTGTCACCCGTGGGTAACGTCAGTCACATCAGCCTGTGCAGGACCGGGGCGGATTCTCCTGGCACCAGAATCACAAAACGCCTCACGGCGTTGACTCAGGAGTGAGGGGCCAATGACACAGCTTGAATGTTTTTCTTTGTCTCATTCTTCAAGGTTTCAAAAATGAAGACAAGGAGACGCTGGCGTGGGAGGGTGTCATGAAAGAAAATTACCTTGTCAAGATCAACACGAAAGCCAACGACCCCTCAGAGGAGTACGTTAGTCATTTATTTCTGCTCCGCGAAGCGCCGCTGGTCCACGCGAGCTGGCCAAACGCCGGCAGCTTCTTTGAGCGAGCTCTGTAAGGAGAAGTTACAACAGAGAGCGGTAGCACCAACAGATATCACCCAGGCCACTGAAGATGACAAACACGTAAATGCGTGTCAGCCTTTCGGGAGGGGGCAAAACCGCCACCCTGCCATCCTGACTGCCCTTCCAGACCCTGAGGAAGAAAGAGGTATTGGGGGCCTGCAGGGCAGGGCCGTGGAGCCAGGCGACAATGGTGAGGTCCCAGTGCCTCGGCTGCAGAGTTGCCTTCTGGAAAGAACCACAGATCACGGGCAATGGCCTTGCAGGTGCCACACATGCGTCTCTGTGATGAAAAAGTAGTGAGGCTGGAGGCTAGGAAAGCCATTTGGCTGATCTGTGACAGACTGTCCCCAAGAGTCCTGAACAGCATTTATGGGTCATGTGGAGTTGTTATAAACATCCCGTAGAACTAGATACACAACCAACTCCATAGATGGTCCACAAGCACTGTTGGGCAGGGCCTCTGAGTGCCCTTCTTACTGTGTGGGTTAGCACAGCTAGGGGTCAGATGTCACACATCCTGGGAGCTCCAAACACACCTCAACACTCGCTCTGACAAAACTAATCCCTTTGTTAGGGTCTGTACGGCTATTGGGGTGCATTGGAGATGTGCTCTTTTTCTTGGAGTAGCAAAGCAGACACCCTAAGCTTTCTCCACTCCTAGACTCTGAGGTCTTGGTTCTGGAAGGGAGGGGCGGACCCCATGGGTCCTCTCCCACCACCCCATCAGCACGGCGAGCCCGTGTGTGCTGCGCTTCAATGGCGTGAGAGCAGACTTCTGCTTCGCTTGGGTAATAGGAAGAGAGTTAAAGAAAGGTCAATGCAGCTGATGTTGATTGAGTTGAAAATGAAATGATCTGTGTTTTGTTCTTTAAAAGACTATAAAATGGAGCCTACTAGCCCTTTCTCAGTATCTCTCTCTCTCTTTCTTTCTGTTGACTTCCTTGAAGAATGAGGCATCGGTTCCGACAGCTGGATACAAAGGTACAGTTCTGCTTATAGCAATATCATTTTTATCTCTGTTATTGAGCTTTTAGGTGAGGCCAGTGGTTATGGTCCAAAGGTAAAAGAAGTTCATTATTTAAAAAAACAGATGTGACTGTTCATATTCAGCTTTCTTCATTCCCTGCATAAGGTCTGGGTGCTGGAGCTGCTTCTCAGGTGCCTCTGCCCACACGGGAATAGTTCCATGATCTGTGAAACCTTCTCTGCCTAACCCAGGACCGCCTCTCTGGAGAGTCAGGGTAACATGCTGGCAATTACAGGGAACACCAGAGAGGCTCAGAAGCGGTTTGGGAGCCTGGGAGCCTCTGTGCTAGCCTTCAATGCCACTCTGATTCGTTCCCTATTTAATTTGAAGGGCATCGCAAGGGCACGAATACACATGTGGGCATTAGGCAGAGGGACAGCATGCCCACATCCCCCCAATTCACAAATACTGGATCCCCGCGAGGCTCTGAGGAGAAGACGACCCCTGGCGTTGTATCGCTGCACTTCGAGAATGGCACCGTGACTGTGGCACCCATGGTGCCCCCCAGTGCCTTGCCGTTCGGCAGCTGGACAGTACCCATCTCGGGCAGCAGACCCTCCAGCACCCAGCACCTCTCCCATAGTAGGGGGGCCCAGAGAACACTGGCTGCGTAATGAATGCACAGAAGGTGCTCCTTACAGATCTCTCACGTGAGAATGTACCCAGTTCACAGTTTCTTGTGGATTTCTTCATGTGTTATTTGTCATCAGCATTTTTAAAAACTGAAGCTGTGTTTCCATGGGCCTCACCTCCTGA